AGTATTGATGGTGTACCAGGAGATAGAGGCCTTGAACCAGACCAATAACTCATTTCAATCAACACTTGTGAGTAAAGCTGTTTGGACAAAAGTGTATACTGTGTGACACATTTCAGCTCCTAATGCCACTAAGATAAATGAAGAGGTAACGGAGAGGCAGGGAAGGAGAAGTATTTTGTATTGTTTTAGTTAGTTTTTAAATTTTTCTATTGGGGGTAGAACACTGAGAAGGTGAAGAAGGGGGGATTCGGAGGGACTGGGAAATGAGTGACATTGGGGTGCATAGTGTGAAATTCCCAAAGAATCAATAAAAAATGTTTAAAATGTCTCTAAAGAATAATATTTATTTCCAAAACTTCTTGTCTACAGGACTCAGAGAATTACATTAAATCTCGACGCATCCTTTCTGCCTACTCTTCTTAAAAAATTGGGCAGATTATTTCATTTCCTTAGACCTCAAAGCTTTGTAAAGCAGGGGTGAGTGTAAAGATTAAAATGGCATAAATAAACGTTTGCCTGACTCTCCATATGCTACTTGTTACTGCTGTTATTATTTTATTGCTTATGTTATTGTTAATATTATAACAGAAATGATGCTGTTCTTTTAAATCATTAATTAGTTATTATTATTGATTATAAAATAAGTAATGGGGCCTCACAGCAAACTCCAGGAGGCCCACTAACTTATGGACATTGCCACAAACATAATCCTTGGTTGCCTTCTTGACAGCCTACACACAGAGCAGCAGACTTTATGATATGCCCACATATGTCTAACTGTAAGATATGTCCTATAGGAATAACAATCACTAACAGGGCCCTAGATATATAGAGGCACTGCTTTAAGAGCTCTCTCTATAGAGCTAATATAATTCTGGTAACACCTCTATGTAGTTGGTTCTATCCACACCTTGCTCCTGAAGAAACAGATCTGGATAGATGGCTCAGTGGATAAGGTGCTGGCTATGCAAGCAGAAGGAACCGAGTTCAGATTCCCAAAACCCAAGTAAAAGCCAGGTCCCACGATGCATTTCTGTAGTCCCAGTACTGGGGAGGTGCAGACAGGCAGATCCCTGGGAGTTGCTGGCATGCTGGTCAGTCAACCCACTAACTCTAGATTCAGTGAGAGAACTTCACCCCCAAAATAAAGTGGAGAACAATAGAGCAAGACACCAGAAGTCAATCTCTGGCTTCTACAAGTGCATGTACAGACACATGCTCTTGCACACACACACAAGAAAGAAAAGAAACTGAGGCAGAAGTTCATACCTTCTCTGAAGCACAAGTGTCATCAGACTGTAGAACTGGTAACAAAACTGCAGAGTCTGGTGCCAGACTCCATCTGTGTCCCTGCAGTTGGACCACGCCCAGCTCCTTCCTTCCTGTGAATGAATTGACTCCATGCCTTCCTTGAAGTCTTTCAGTGGCAAGCCCAGAGAGGGTTTGATGGGTCAGTGCAGTATTGTCCAGGCAGCAGGTGTACCGTGGGCTACGTCAGCCTGCACTGCTCATCACTTGGTATCCTCCTCCCTTGCTTGCTTATTTCACTTGTCTGTCTCCTGTGGGCACAGGAATGAGCAACCATGGACTGTAATAAATGGAAGAATCTCAATCCGGCATTTGAACTTGAACCTAAGCAGGCTGTCACATTCGGGAAAGTGTGGAACTCTAATCGTCCTGCTCAGATCAATGGCTCCTGCAATATGAGAGGCATGTCCTCTCAGCCCTCACTCAGAACAAGATTCTTGAAGCTGGGGAGGCCTGCAAGGCTCTGGGGTGAGAGGTCTGGTGTGCTTTGCTTGGGACTCTGAGTTTGGGGCTCAGGTCTTTTCTTCTAACTGCCTTTGGAGTCTTTTTTTTATTTTAGATTTATTTATTTATTATGTATACAGTGTTCTGCCTACTTCTATGCCTGAAGGTCAAAAGAGGATGATTGTGAGCCACCATGTGGTTTCTGGGAATTGAACTCAGGACCTCTGCAAGAGCAGCCAGTATTCATAAGTGCTGAATCATCTCCCCAACCCCTGCCTTTGGAGTCTTTAAGACAGAGCTCCCAAAAGTCAGCTTCTTGTCATCCTACACCTCTCCACAGCAGCTTGGAACCAGTCTGCATTACCAAAACACTCCTTCTCTAGGACACATGCAAGCTCCCAGCAGATAATTGTCAGACCACAGAGAAGAAGGCTTTAGGGATTATTCTCAAGGGTTTTCCCACAGCATCAGCAGCTGGATTGAAGGAGACAATTGATTTACAGCTTGGAACCAGTCTGCATTACCAAAACACTCCTTCTCTAGGACACATCCAAGCTCCCAGCAGATAATTGTCAGACCACAGAGAAGAAGGCTTGAGGGATTATTCTCAAGGGTTTTCCCACAGCATCAGCAGCTGGATTGAATGAGACAATTGATTTAGCTCTCTAAGTACAGCCAATGGGGCAGCAAAAGTGAGATGCACTCAACTGATGCTTGGTATCCATGAGAAAGTGGTTCCCAGATGCCCTGTACACACAATATCCATGGATGCTCAGGACCAGTTCAAAGAATGGTGTATGGTTTACATGTGTGTTGTTTGCTTCTTTGCTTGCTTGTTTTGAAGCAAGCTCTCTTTCTAGAGACAAAGCTGGCCTGAAACTCACTATACAGCCTAGGCTGGTCTCTAACTTATAATCTTTCTGCATTAGCCTCCTAAGCACTGGGATGGCAGGCATGTGCCACCATGAAATTAGCTCTAGATTGCTTACAGTGCCTAATATAATGCAAATGCTAAACAAGTGAGTGTGTTGCATTGTATTGCTAAAAGCATGAACTCAAGCCATGAAACCAGAAAGGGGACCATGAGGTAGGAGAAAGATGTTGAGGGAGGAAAGAAACAGAACATGTAAAATGAAAGAAGAAAAGAGGCCATTGCAAGTGGAAGGTTACAATGGGATAGGGTGGGGAGAAAAGGAGGGTAAGAATCAAGAAAACCAAATTATATTTAAAATGATATACATAATGATCCCTAACATATTGTTTTTCTATATAATAGCCCTGGTTGTCCTGGAACTCATTTTGTAGACCATGCTGATTTGCAACTCACAGAGATCTGCCTGCCTCTGCCTCCCAAGTGCTGGGATTAAAGGCATATGCCACCACACTCAGCTAGAATTTTTTTTGTTATTAAATAAGCCAGGGTTGGAAAGATGGCTCAACAAGTAAAGGTGCTTGCCACCAAGCCAGACCACCTGAGTTTGGTCCCTGAGACCTGCAGGGATAGAGCCAACTCCCAAAAGTTGTCCTCAGCCCTCCATTTGTATAACATGGCATGTGCACTCCCACAGTGGAGTAGTATACACAGGCACACATACACAAACATTGGAGGGGCAAGGAGGGAGAGAGAAAGGAATTTAAAAAAAAAAAAAGTGGTGTGGGAAAAAAAATCAAACACATTTAGTACTTAGTACAAGTGCAATTTTTCCAAGTATTTTTCAGTATGATCATTTTGGGTATAGCTCAGTAGTGACATAGTTACCTAACATGCATCAGATCAAGGGGTTCTGGGCTAGCAAAATGGCACTTGCTGTGTCAGCAAGTTGGCCTGATGACCCGTTCAACCCCTGAAACGCATTGTAGAAGAAGAGAATCAGCTCCTCAAAGTTGTCCTCTGACCTCCACATACCAGTACCACACATCACATACACACACACAAATCAGTGTTTCAGATGTACGGATGTGGTTTCTACATCTGACCCTGCCCCCATCCTTTGGCCAGTCATCCCTATAGCCTTGCTCTGGGCTGGAGACAAAGGGAGGACTCTCATGGGGCTCTGGTGAGCAAATGATAACAGGTTGGACCCAATTAGGACAAGATCCCTGGAACAGATGTTGCTTGTATGCAGAGGAGGGGATGAAAGAATTGGTTCCAGAGGCTTGGGACCTGCTTCTAGAAGATGCTAATTGATTTCTTGCTGACAATTTTTTACCCTTAAATGAACAAGAAAGAGAGTATCACTGAGGCTCATGTGTTTCACCGGCTAATGCGTATTTGTGTTCAGAGAGAAGTGAAACTTGCCTTTGTTTTTCTCTCCATAAGAAACATAGTCTCATTTGTCCCAGGCAAAGATTTAATTCCTGGCGGATCTTTGCAGCTTGAAGGGGATAAAGATTACCTTCGGAATTGCATGGGAGCACTGCCTCTTGCTCATCTGGGGATATCCAAAGGCCTGGGACATTTTCTCAAAGGGGAGTTTGAGGAGAGGGGTGGGAATGAAGCACTAGCCTTAGAAACCTATGAGACCCTGCCTCGGTGGGAAGAATCAGACTCAACAACAGGTCTCTGTGAGAATAGTTCCACCTTAGAACTCTCTCTGCCCCCTGTATCTTGGCCTCGTATTGCTATGTCATGCTGGACTATATCAATCTGGTGACATGACTGTCCTTGAGAAGAGCTTTGTCTTAAGCATGACATCACTTACTGGGGGTCAGTTCCCTTTGCATTTTCCCATTAACATATTTAATCCTCTCAGAAATTCTGTAAGATAGGTGCAATTACCATCCCTGTGCTACACAGAATCTGAAAGGCAGAGGACATATGTAGACTGAACTCGGAAGCCTGAGAGAGTCCCTCACCTCTCTTGTTCTTCTTGTGCCTCCAAACCCTAACACGATATGAGCCTTAATATGTACTGTACTGAATTAAGAGCACAATCTGTGGTGGTGCTGATGCTGTGAGCATGATGCTGAGTGCTCTATAAATATTAGCTAAAGAACTGACAGCCAACAAGATGATTTTAAAGCTGCAACCTGAGACTAGCCAGATGGCTCAGCAGGTCCAAGCACCTGCTGCCAAGCCTGATGGCCTGAGTTCGATCCCCAGGAACCACATGGTAGAAGGAGAGAACGGACTCCGTCAGTTTGTTCTCTGACCTCCACAGGTGCACTCTGTCAGGGATGCATGCACATACGTATACACATCGCAAATAAAAAGTAAGTGAAGCCATGATTCTACCACAGCAGCGGTCACCCACCTGGAGGTAACACCAGAGGGAGGGAGGGAGCGAGGGAGGGAGGAAGAGAGGGAGAGAGAGGGAGGGAGGAAACCACTGAGGAGCTAACTCACCTACCTGGCCATGCAAATCAATTTTAAGATGTATCATATGTCATTTGAGCAACTTAGGAATGCAGGGCCTTGTGCATGCAGGACAACAGTTCTACACTGCACTATAGCCCCAACCCCCTCCTTTCTGTTCTTTTTTTTTTCCCCAGGGGACAGCGAGAATGCAGTCCCCCACTACCCCGAATTATGCAGTCTAGTTTCCTGCAGTTGGGGAAATCGCAGGGGTCAGCACATCCAGAGTGCAATGGATAAGCCTCGCCCTGGGAAAACCACCTTCGTGATTATGGCATCTCCCCTGCCAGGTAAGTATTCCTTCCCATTCTTTTTTTTTTTTTAAGATTTTATTTTTTTTTTTTTTTTTTATACAACATTTTTTTTGTATACAACATTCTGCTTCCATGTATATCTGCACACCAGAAGAAGGCACCAGATCTCATAACAGATGGTTGTGAGCCACCATGTGGTTGCTGGGAACTGAACTCAGGACCTCTGGAAGAGCAGCCGGTGCTCTTAACCTTTGAGCCATCTCTCCAGCCCCTATTCCTTCCCATTCTTGTTGACACTTTCTGTTGCCCCCTCTATTAAAAAACTGATTGCCACCCTTTTGTTTTTCTTTTTTGTTGTTGTTGTTTGTTTTGTCTTATTGAGACAGAGTTTCTCTGTTAATAGCCCTAGCTGTCCTAGAACTCACTCTGTAGACCAGTCTGGCCTCATTGAGATCCCCCTGCCACTGCCTCCCGAGTGCTGGGATTAAAAGCCTGCACCTCCACTGCCCTGCTCACCTTTTCTTCCTTTTCTTTTCTTTTTCATAGTTTTGAGGGTATACATGTGGTATATGAGTGTGTGCGCACGTGTACTTATCCAGGCTCCTGTGGAAGCCAGAGGCTAATGACTTCCTCAGCTGCTTCGTTAGTCACTGAAAGACCCCCAAAGAGGTACTTTCGTAGAAGGAGACCCGCACCCAGGAATCAGCGAGACCACAGACTGGGATGCAAACCCGCAAGAGTCATTATTAGAGACGCGGGTACCCGGGGCGACTTAGCTTCTGTGTGGCTAAGCGCCCCGAGCCAAGGGAAAGGGGTCCTTATATAGGGAAAAAGGCGCAAGCTAGGTGCAGGGATTCTATTGGATAATTCTAATGAGACATTGTACAGAGCTATTCCCATTGGTCAATGTAAATGAGGTGCTATACAGGGTTATTCAAATGAGGTGAAGTACAGAGTTATTCAAATGAGGTGAAACACAGAGTCTTTCAAATGAGGCGAAATACAGAATCATTTCTATTGGATGGTTCAAATGA